TGACAAGTTAAAAAATCTGAAATTGATAAAAACAAGGTCATTTATTGATAAACAAAATGAAGATACAACTTAGCAACATAATTGAAATTGAGATGACCCAAGCGACAATGCCATAACAACACTTGATTTTTGGCAGATATTGACTCAACAGAAAATAGAGGTGCGATCATTTGTATGTTTATAGATAGATTTTCTTTGAAAGCCTAGATCCTTTTTAGTCGATCAATTATCTTCCCCAAATCTACCACCTCAAATTCAGAAAAGTAAGAATCAAATTTAGTAACACAATTCAGGTCATAAGTAAGCTTATTAAAAGAGAGTAAGTTCCAATCTAGTTGGGGGATATATAGTACTGAAGAAAGCTAAATATCTTTGCAAACTTTCACATTTCTTTTCCCAACAATCTCGAAGAGAGATCCATCAGCAAGTCTAACGAATTTGAGGTTAGTGATCTCTTGGTGGTTAATAAGAGCATGAATGTCCACAATCATGTGATCAGAAGCACCTATATCTATTATCCAAGGTAGAAATTCTCCATTGTTAATAAGATATGAGGATATGATACTTGATGTATCATTAAGCTGGTAAGCTCAGCAGTAGAACTAGATGTCTTTATTCATTACTTGGTCATAAACCTAATTCACGTTTAGGGCAGAAAGAATTCTGAGCTATTGCAAGTTGCAGGATTATTGGTTGCTTCTTGCCATCGGAGTGGAGGAACCCTAAGAAAGTCGGAGAGGTCTGCATGCTCAGAAGAAGCTATCTGCAGCTGTTGGTTGGCCACTACCTACGGTTGCTTTGTTGGCTCGAAAATGAGCAGTCGTGTTCTTGTATGATCATCAATAAATGTGAAAAACCAATTGATCTCACTTAGGACTTTCACCTTTGAAAGTCTTCAAATATCACTATGGACAATGGCAACAGGGTGTGAGGGTTTGACTGGTTTAGTGGATAATTATTTCTTGTGTGATTAACAAGTTGACAAATCTCGAATTGATAAAAACTAGGTCATTTATTGATAAACAAATGAAGATACAACTTAGCAATATAATTGAAATTGGGATGGCACAAGCGACAGTACCATAATACCCATAACAACACCAGATTTTCGATAGATATTGACTCAACAGAAAATAGAGGTGGGATCATTTGCGTGTTTATAGAAAGACTTTCCTTGAAAGCTTGGATTCTTTTTAGCCTACCAACTACTTTCCCCAAATCTACCACCTCAAATTCAGAAGAGTTAGAATTGAATTTAGTAACACAATTCAGGTCTTAAGTAAGCTTATTAATAGAAAGTAAGTCCCAATCTAGTTGTGAAATATATAGTGCGGAAGAAAGCTAAATATCTTTGTAGACTTTCACATTTTTTTTCCCAACAATCTTGGAGTGAGATCCACAGCAAGTATAACGAATTTGAGGTTAGTGATCTCTTGATGGTTGATGAGAGCATGAATGTCCACAATCATGTGATCAGAAGCACCAAAATCTATTATCAAAGGTCAAAATCCTCCATTGTTAATAAGAAATGAGGATATAATATCTTGATGTACCATCAAGCTGGTAAGCTCAGAAGTAGAACTAAATGTCTTCATTTTGTGCTTGGTCATAAACCCAATTCATGTTTAGGGCTCAAAGAATTCTGAGCTACTGCAAGTTGCAGGATTATTGGTTGCTTCTTGCCATAGGAGTGAAGGAACGCCTAGAAAGTCAGAGAGGTCTGCATGCTCAGAAGAAGCCATCTACAGCTCTTGGCTGGCCACTACGTGCAGTTACTCTTCTGGCACGAAAAGGAGCAGCTAGGCCACCGACGAACCAACAGGAAGGAGAGCTTGGAAGCCTACAGGAAGCTCTGGGAGAAGTCTGCAGGGCTGCTCTGGCTGCTACCTAAAGCTTTGACTGCTTTGGTTGCAGCGAGACGTCCGATAGAGAAAGTGAGTAGCAAGATCCACCGCTCTGACCCTGTTCGGAAAAACAGCGGGAAAAGAGACAGGAACCGGGAGGGCCCATAGCGAGTTTTGTGGCCTGTAAGGAGAACTTTGGCGCTGTCGGCTGCAAGATGCTCCAAAGGAAGGTCTGCTGCACGGAAAAATTATGGAGAGCCTGCAGAAAGGCAGGTGGCTGCAGGAAAGATTCCAGTGCCTGTAGAGAAGATTCCGATTGGTGCTGCTATGTCTGCTGCTTTTGCTGCTATGGAAAACAAATGTCGGTTGCAGAACCTGAACAAAACTGAACAATCCGGCTGTTAGAGGAAGTGCTGCCACCTGCAGAGAGAGATTTCTAGCAACAAGAGGGGGCCTAAGGGGAGATATATGACCAAGTAAGAGGAGATTCTGGTTGCCTGCAGGGAAGCGGTTCTGACTGCCTGCAGGAAGGAGGTTCACTCTTGGCAGAGGAGATTCTTGGTCAAGCAGGAGAGGCTCCGGTTTTGGCTGAAGAGATTTTCTGGCTCTGACAAAGGTCCAGACAAGTTTCCAGCTGCAAAAAGGAGGTTTGGCGGCATGGAGGGATCTAGTTTAAGGTCAATGGCTCTGATACCATGTAGAAAATGGTTGGGGAGAGGAATAATTCTCTTGATCCATATTATTCACATGTATGGTACATATATATAGGAAAAAAAACCCTTGTAATTTACAAACTTACCAAATATATCTAACCTAAATTAGGATAGAAAATATTTCTCGAATAAAAAATAAAATAACATAAAATATGAAGGGTATAAACTAATCAAGAATTTTCTTAGTTTCAATCAAATTTTCCATAATCTTTCAGATTTCCTTCATGAACTTCTCAGATTTCCACAAGGCAAAGAAAATAACTTCATGTTATTTATTTTTTTATCGAGAGATGGCATATGATTGAATACCATTACAATTGATTTAATGTGTTTTAAGGCATAAAGTTGTTTCAAGGATACGGTAACTTGATGAAATATAAGTATGGTAGAGCATTGACTAGCATTAAAAACTGTCTAGAGAGACCCAGAGTTTTTAATTATGGTATGTTATGTGACTTTATGAAAGATATGTATGATAGAGCATTGAATAGCATTAAAAACTATTTTAGAAAGGCGCAGAGTTCTTAACTATAGTATGTTTACAAAGGATTAACAATGAGTTCATACCTTTATATATTTATTATAAGGATGTTTATAAAAGATATTTAGAGTGAGGTGCCTTAGTATATATGTATTTAGATGATATAATTCTAATTGGTGAGATATCCATCAGAGAAAGTGAAAATAATACAAAAACAACAACAAAACCTTTAACCCACTAAGCGGAGTCGGCTACATGAAGTCTGTTACTCCACTGCGTCCTATTTAGTGTCATATTTTCATTTAATTCTAATAAATTAAGATCATTTTTTACACAATATGCCCATGTCATTCTAGGTCTACTTTTGTCTTTCTTAACATAAGTTGAATCTAAAACATCTACTCTCCTAATTGGATCATCAGACGGTCGACGTTTAACACAGTCATTGCCGGTCCCAAGCCTGAATGTGAAAAGTGGAGGGTTGCATTAGGTAGTCAACAGTCAGCATAAATGTAGTCAAAAAGTTATGACATGAATTTTTTTTATCATTGAAGTGAATATAATAATAATAAAATATATTTAAAATGCAGAATCCTTAGAATTGGTAAAATAAAGACTAAGTATATATTATATAATTTTAGAAGGTGTAATGTTCACTTATAATAATTCAACATCTTTAAAGAATAGAGTGATAACTAAGTGTGATAAGTTTAAATATCCTGAATCTATTAAATTGAAGATTCGAAATATATGATTAAACTAGAGAAATGTATCCAAAAATTTATATGAAAAAGATATTATTGAAGTTCAAATAAAAATTTTATAACATCTCATTTAGGCTAATGATGTTACATAAATTTGAACATTTGGTCATTAAAAAATCATTAAAATCTAAGTTAGGGGGGGGGGGTGGGTGAAATTAGGGGGAGGGGATGGTTGCAATTAGGATTTAGGTTAAATAGGATTTACTAAATCCAAATAACGTAAATCCAGAATAGTTTTTGTTTCAATTTATGGTTAAATCCATTAAATTCACTTATCCTGTTTAGCATAAGTCCACTCCTCTGGTTTTCTTCTTAAGTTAAATCCGTTAAATCCACATAAGAATAGGATTTAATAAATCCGGATTTAGGTTAAGAAATTAACGGAAGAGGAGGATTTATGGATTTAACTTCTTCGAATTTTTTGTTTGGTTGGATTTATGTTGATATTAACATACATCCTGTGCGAATCCGGCTACCAAACACCCCCTAAGAGTGATAAAAAACAAAATGCTAAAATGGTTGTGTAGAAAAATAAATAAAGAATGGGCATGCTAAAAGAAAGGTTAGAGTCAAACTTATTAAAAATAAAGTTATTAAAAATAAACTTTAGTGGTTTGAAAAAGTATAGTAAAAGACAGAATGTACCTGTTACGCTAGTTAAATAAAATTAGCACTATAAAGCTAAGATGAAAAAGGGGTAAGCAAAAGTTATATGTATAAAAGTTCAACATGGTTTATGAAGAATAAGTTTAACACTGTAACATTTAAAACATCATTAAACAAGAATGTATAAAAAATAAGGACTCATAAAACCAACCCCAACTCAATGGGATATGGCTAATCATGATGAACAATCAAAAATAAATTTTATTATTAGCCTAGATTGTGATGATTAACTTAACTGATGAAAGGAATATTTTGTAATTGTTTATGGTTTTTAGCCAGCAAGTCCTGAATGGGTTTGTTTTTTCCGTCACGCATTTATGGTTCTATAACTTTTGCTCCTTTTCAGCAAAGTTTGTTTTGATATTTTGTCACCACCCTTTAGAATTGGATAGACTACCAAGAGTTTTGAGGAAGTTTTGTTCTTTTTTTTCTACTTCAAGTATAATTGCTTGGTAGTTTTTACCCTTTTTTCTTCAGCATACCAGGCATTTCCCTCCCATACCTGCAAAATTAAAAATTTGCAGATCCATACCTCTTGTATCTGTAATACTCCTCACGAGCTCCCTTTAATTGACGCCTTAATGCAGCCATTGTTTTTTCATCGGTATCATAGTCCATATCGTTTTCACCCAATCTACCCCCTGAAGGCTTGAAAGATGGATCATCCCGAAACTGAGGAAAATAGATCAACCAAAAGAATAAAAAATACTAATAGCATTATCAAAAAAAATGAGGAGCTTGGGTGTATGGAAATAATTACCACTTGGACCAGCATGTTATCAATGACATTCATATAAGGTCTCAAAGGATCCCGTTTTGACATTTGTTTGGATGTGGCTTGAGCAACCTAGGAAAACACAGCAGGAACAGTGGATAATTCATCCGTTGCTTGAGACAGAAAATGCCTAAAACAGGTTATAAAAATTGAAAATACATGGCTATAAATTGATAAATACAAAGAAATCTTTAATTTGTAAAAGATAGACAATAAATAAAAGGACAATTCACAAGAAAGGCTTCCATGATTCATTGATAGCGAAGGTAAGTCCAAAAAAATGCAATTTATGAAGGATAGACATGGAACCTCTACAAAATGATAGCAAAGCTGGAATAATAAAGCAGCAATGGGAAACTGATAAAATACTCTAGCATCCTAAAAAAAATAAACTACACCTAGCACAATCCATTGTCTACAACTATTTTGTGACAGTTATTTACAAGGTGCATGTGCTCTCTTTCCCCTAATTTGCCTTCCCTGCATTCCAAAGAATCCATTCCCCCAACAACTATAAATAATAGAAACCAAAACTGAATGGGGTTGGCAGTCTTCATCTTATTTCAACCTGTATTCAAACCTTCCCTGTACTTCTTCATCTTAATTCTAATATCCAATCTGCTCGGTATGGATTTGCAGAAAGGGCTAAAGAATAAGAAATCCAAGTTTCTTGGTTGAATAGATGCTGGTCTTGTTCTTTTTAGTTCTCATTAAAAATGGTGCAGTCATACAGGAGGAAAGTACAAAATAGCTCTGCTTGATAGGATAGAAAAACGATGCTTCCAGCAACTCATCACTTACTTTTAGAAAAAAAAAGTTAATTTGAGATTAAAAGTGCCTTCTATTAATTAGATCTTAATCAGACACAACCCAACATCTTTTGCCATTCATAGATTGAACAAAAAAAATTAAAAATAAGCCAAAATAAAATCCTAATTTCTTGTAGGTGTATGCACACGAGTATATATAATTTTTAAGAGAGGAGAACAAAATCAAGAGAATCTGAAAAGTCTGTGTGTAATGTGCAACAAAAAAAAAAGAAAAGCTAAAGGGAATATAGAGTTATCATCATGAGAAAAATAGATACAGAAACAATTACGGAGGAACACATACCACAATCGCATTTGAAAATTCTTGATGAGCATCATCTAACTTCACAGCCATTTTTGCAACCATATGAGAGAGAAATTTTTGGCGATTGCTCCAATCAGCATTCCTCCATATGCTCTTCGGCATTTCACTCAATCCAAAACCAAGAAGAAATGCACCAGTCACAAGCCCAAATGTATTGGAGCAAGCCATGGCCAAGGCTACAAAGTTTACACTCCTGTCATCATAATGATCAATGTTTAACTGCCCAATCTGGCCAAATTTAATAGAATGAAAATGAAAGAAAAGCATGCTGCCTGCCACAATTAATAGTTGAAATTGCCAGTTATTTCCATGGAATATTGCAGTTCAAACATAATAAATGATATTCTAAATCATGACTAAGAAAAAAGCATACTCAGTGCATAAAGTTCCTGCCAATGCACTATTTTAATCTGTAAGCAACTTGCTGCTTCGACCAATATAAAAGCATTTTATGCTTTCGAAAAGTTGTTCCTATGTGATATAGGGAATCTTAGGGTATAGAATCTAATACACATCTCAAATGCATGGCAATGCATAACTACACAAAATTTTGCTCAACACAAGTTTTACAATTGGTATGCTTCAATGATTAATGTACATGACAAAAATTTATAACACACAAGTAAATAATATTTTGTTAGCCATAGTTGTCTTCTATTATGTTGTACTATGCTACAAAGTGCTATGAAGCGTTGCCAAGTAAAGCATATGATTGTTCCTTAAAATCATCTTAAAATTGTAGTTTAAAGTGTTATAAGAGTTGTAGTTGATTGTTAAAAAAGTTTGCTGCATTAATAAGAGTTAATAAGATTGCTCGAAATGAATATATTACGAATTTCACCCATGTATAATATAAAATCCTACGTTAATTAGTTTCTTGTAAATAAAATATATAATTAATTATTAAGATATAAAAACAAAAAACCGCAGAAGCACTGCTTGAGGAAGTTATCCGAAGTAACCTCCCAAGAAAGCTGCTTTTCAACCTTCATATAAATAGATTTTCTCTTAACTGTTATAGCAAAAATCTTAAAACTGCTATTTTTCAAGAAATACAAGCAGGCAACAAGTTATCCCAAAAATAGTCCAAGAACAACCACCGTTGGCTTATTCCATAATATGATCATAATTAGAGATAATAGAAATTGCTAAAAAAATCCCTAAAAACGCTCCACCATCTTTTTTCTGTAGCATCAATGACACAATGATCCAAAGATCCCCCTACAATCCCACAGCACAAGGACTGCAAGGAACAGGAGGTCATCAATCAGTATATACACATATTAAAAGTACAGATCACAAACACAAGGTTTGTTTGACGCAGGAGCTAGGCTGCCTGGTATGCAGTATTTCCGCAATTTCACGAACATGGAGCAGGGCTTCCCAGGGATACAGAAGTTTGCAGTTCTGCACATATGGATCCCGCAAATGCAGGAGAAATAGGTCCCGAGATGTCCTTTTTTTTATTTATTACCTTTTTTTTTCTGGTTCTTTCTTATTCTTCTATTTTCTAATTAAGTTATTTTCTATTTGGGAACTATTAATATGTTGCTATTTTTTATGGTTAAGTAGACTTTTGGCTATTGGCATTATTTTGGGAGAGTTTCTAATTTATGCTCTTCGAAGTGTTGTATCTTTTCCTTTTGCAAATGGAGGGTGTTTGTTGCTTAGGAATAGGTATTGGATCCTCCTCTACCTCCATAGTGTTTCCCAGTTCAAGCCTTTGTTTTCAGTCGGTTTTCAGCTGGGACAGCCGAAGAACGTCACTTATCCCCCATCCAAACACCGCTGAATACCCATATTATTCTTCCTTTGCTCATCCACAAACACCTCCTTGCCAAGCCCACTTCTAAAATACCTTCTAAGAACTCTATAATGGTATCATCTGGTATCAGAGCCACAAACCCTAGATTTTTAATGATTTATCTTTCTTGCCCAAAATCTGAAATTCTAAAAAAAATCCCACTATCACAAATCATTCTTACTCAATTCCTAGCTCCATTCCTAAATTTTCAAATTTCAAAATTTTTACCTTCACCATAAATCTACCTGACACCTAAAACTAAAATCCTGAACTTCGATCAATCTTTTATCTACAACACTATAGTCGTCAAAACATTGATTGAGAGAAAAAAGAGGCAATACCACCTAAGAGAAATCTACAAAGATGTGTCCACGAGTTAACTATGTGAGAAATCTTTCAACTACAATAGGAGCTTGTCGGGTTTGAGAGGAGATAATATGGTGATGTCACTTATAGTCACAATGATGACTTACAAGATCGAGAAGAAGACATGAATTCATTTCATCATGAAATTTCTAGTGCCATGAACCAATACCCTATCAATTTGGCATGGAATATCAAAGAAAAAGTCAAGATCTTGGAGTAAATGTGAATATACCAAATTTTGATTTCTCATAGATCCAAACAAGTTTTATTGAGCGGCTCTAGACAGTAGAACGACTCTTTAAGTTCAAGGATGTCTCACCTGACAAATAGGTAAAGCAAGTCCCCATCAAGTTAGAGAAGAGTGCATCTCTTTGGTGGGAGAACTTGAAACATTTATACCAGCTTGGGGAAAAAATAAAATTACTACCTAGTCCAAAATAAAAAGGAAGATGCAACGCAAGTTCCTAACACCACATTACCAATATGAGATGTTTATAAAACCCTACTACCTGCGCCAAAGAGATTCTTCTGTGGAGGATTACACAACAAAATTTGATCAACTCATACTGAAATGTGAGTCGGTGGAACCAAAGGAGCACACAGTAGCAATATATATAAGAGAACTAAGGTCGTTTATTAGTAATATGGTACAGTTGCAACAGTATTGGTTCCTAATCAATGTACATACCCTAGTTTTGAAGATGGAGATATAGCAACGTCACCAAGTGGCCGTCACATCTTATAGACCAAATTCAACCGTGGAATCAAATAGCAAGAGTATACCCATTAGAGCATTCAAGCCACCCCCACCTGAGAACCAACCAGCACTATTCATAATGAAGATTAGATGGAACCAACCAGCACTCCAAATTTCAGTCCCAGCCAAGAAATAATTCAAATGCCATGATTTTAAGCAAATTGAATCATATTACTCAAATAATAGAATTATATTATTCACTTAGCAGAGAGCATTTAAAAGAATGTACAGAGACATTAGAGAGGAATATAGATTTCAAACGACAAGCGAGAGATGCTAGTGTGTCAAGTTGAGCCCATGAGGGAGACTCCAACAGAATTAACATTAGTTATCTTAGATTAAAGTGATTCCAATGAGCAGATATTAAACACATGTCATCCCAGCTAAGTGGTTTCAGGATTGTCTCACCAAAAGCCTACTTTCTAAGTTGCCACTACTTAGGGAGGTTTAGTATATCATCACATTAGATAGAAACGGGAAATTTTTTACAAATTTTTTAAAGTCTCTTTCGAATAAATTGAATGCCAAATTTTAGTTTAGTTCAAAACAATGTCATCTCAAACAGATGGTTAGATAGTAATGGTGAGACTCCACTTTGAAAAACTCGATAGGTGTTTTCCAAGACAATACAACAAACTGTTGGACCCAAGGGCTTCAAGAGAAGAAGAAAAAACCCCTTCTAGCAAGAGAGAATGATGCGTGAGCTCGACTTTCAAGGAAGCAGAATTTCTGCAATTTCACAATATGCAGATCTAGGCTTACTGAGGATGCAAACGTTCATGGTTCCGCAACATATGGATCCAGCAATGGCAGAAGTAAGAGACCCCGAAACTTCATTTTTTATTTATTTCCTATCCACAACAAGTTTCTTTCTATTTTTTTCTTTCCATTTCTCACAAGCACAAGCTCTTATAATCAAATACCCCTCCTGAAAATGGAAGATCATTTTCAATTAAGGTAAGAAATTAGAGCGTGCTAATTTTTCAAACCAGGGAATGGATTTTCCTATTTTGAAGCGGCGAACTATAGGCAAGTTTTTAGTTGTACGATTTATCTTTTCCTGTTTGGAGAAAATCAAATAGGCCACACATACAATATTGAGAGGCAGAGATTTTGATATGGTTTAAAAGCTATGGAATAAGAAAATTTTAAATATAATATTTCTATTTTTAATTGTCTTTTTTCGTGTGTTTTAAATTCATGTCGTCATTCAGGACTTTGTGCCAATGCCTTGCATGTGGAATCTGACCAATGTGAGTGTCTTCTTGAGGCATTTTTGATGTTTCAGACTTTCTAGGGTAATTCATTTTATGAACATAAGTCATTTGAGTGACCTTGACTACAATCGAGCTATGTTAGGCCTAATTTGCACACGTCGCATTCTTAATCCATCGTCTCCATCATGCTTGACCAAAATGACCGCTTAATGCCTCATTTTGCAAATTTGGATGCTTCAAATATATCAAACTGATCAATTTTACAAAATGAGCCATAATCACATGAATTTGATTACAATCAAAGTGTTTGAAGTTGAATTCATGCAGCGTCATGTTATTTGCCCGCCATCTTATTGCATTAGATTAATTTGGTTAAAGTGCATACGTGGGGTCAACAATTACGAACTTAACTCTCATTTTCAGTTCTAAATTGGGAATAGTTCCACCCTCACATGTATAGCAAAAATATCACATCATATGATAACTCTTCACATTGATCAATACTCCTCTCAAATGAAAAATTTTTAATACTGTCAAACGTTGCACCAAGAGACCACTCAACCAACTTGCCACCTAGAGACCACTCAACCATATTGAGCCAGTTAATTAAACAATGCTTGAACCTTGCTTAATAAATATAAAAGCGACCAAGCAACCACAAACCACATGAAACACTTAATCTCAATGATGCAAGCTTCTTGGGCCATGGCTGGCTCGAGAAGACGACAGATACAGCCTCCTTGCTCCGCCAGGACCGACCAGGCTCTTTCGGGGCATAAGCTTTTGTCCCCTTCCTTCCATGATTTCATGCACAATTTCCCCTCCCTCCTAAACCATCCCTTCTTGCATAGATTGTATTTTAAATTCCTTCCTTTTTCCATTCCCCCTCCTTTACTCCTTACTTATTCTACTTGCCTAATCTATCCACTAATCCCTCTTATTTATAAATGTTGATCAGTTTTTATCTCTCTAATTTCAGTTGAGCCTCTAAGGCGTTCACCCTCTGAGGGTTGTATCTGACGGCAAGCGGTGCTTTGGTTGTACCTCGCCCAAGGTGATGACTATGCACGTTCACTCTGCTCCCTCTCGCTACCATTCTCCTTCCCAGGCTGTCCAGACTGAGCTGATCTCCCCAGCTCTCCACCAGCAGGCTGCAGGTCACGTCAGCCTTCACCAGCAGCAGCACCTCTCCTTGTCGACGACTCACAGTCGGCCAGTGATGTCGCTTAGCATTGTCTCACCGATTGTTCATATGTTCGCCCAACCGGCTGCAGCTCTAGCCGATTCCTTCTAGCAACCGCCGCACCTCCTCCCCGAGCACAACCAACCAACCAACCAACTTCCAATGCTACTTCCTCACAGCCTGCCACCCTACATTCTCTAGCAGGCTGCCGACCCTCAGGCTCCTCCTAGCAACTCTCATATTCCCGCCCCGCACTACCAGTCAATCGCCTACTTTCGGGCCCCCTTCCAACAAACCATTGAGCACCTTTTTGCGCCTCCAACCGACCTGCCGGCCTCACAGCATCACTCCAGCAGCTCCCTCTATCGGCCCATTTCTATCCTTGTGTTGTTTCCTTCGTTCTTATTTTCTACACTCGTTATTACTATTTACTGTTAACTATTTCTGTGTTGTTTTATATTGTGAGTCATCCTTGTAACCATTTCAGGTCAGCAATAAAATATGTATCGTCTGAGTCGTGGTTTGGGTTAACTCTGGTATCACACAATTAACCACCCATTGACTCCAATACCACGCAAAAGAGGGGCAAAACCAAGGAACCCTAGCTGAGATCAATGCACTAGTAGATAACAATCATCAACATAAAAGCTCAAGCTAAAAAGGGCACTACTATTACATCAGAAACATAAATATTATTTTCACTTCAAACATGTGATTATTTGCACTTGGATGTATTCCTCAATAAATCGTAAATTTTAAGATTGGCCATACACTTATATGATCTTTACAATTTTTTCAAATTATTTTTCCCAAAATACAACATGTTTGGTAATAACTTCTACTATTTTGGTATTTTAGTTCCAAACACAGGCATCTTCCTTCAGAAAATTGTGAACCCGAAACATTAATATGTTTATTTTTATCGTGAGAATTATCTGTTTCTACAAAAGAAAGGACAATAAAGACAAAGCAAGCCAAAGAATTGAAATCAATAATCTCAATAACAGTATCAGAGGGAAGTTCCAAACACTAACCAATCTCGATGCATGATGATCAACAGTAGGAGTCCGAGAAGGCCAATCGATCCAACAATCAGGTAAAAGACCAGATTTACATGAAAACTGGTTTTTAATCTTTCTTTCATAGTGAAATCTCCAGCATCTTCATAACCCTGAATAGCAGGAACCACAGCCCTGCTTAGAGACATGAGAGCAACTTAAATAATAGCGTCACATAAATGATGCACACCAAAAAAAAAGTAACATGCCAGTTTTCTCTTAAAGTTAAAACCAAGAAATTGCAAATCAAGCTAATTGTTATAACTTTATAAGGAACAAGCATTCACAAAGTATTGTTATTAAAATACAATATAATAATCTCCAAAAATTTGCAATATGATCATGACACAAACTGATGTAACTAAAGTAAAAATCAATCAAGCCATTCTTAGCTCTCCAGCACATGCACGCACACAAATCAAACAGATATAATTATATTAAGAACCAATTAAGCCTTACCTTTGATACAGTCACAATAGGCAATTTTAAAGGATGAGAAAGCTTCCATTTATTCACAGTTAAACATATTTAGACATTAAGACATGAAGACTATAAAATCTTCAGAAGCAATGAAAGGTAGTTAGTATGGCTCCCCTTACACGCACAGAAGTACACAGGTTTACATCACTCAACAGCCAGTTTTCATTGATGAGATATAAATTATAGAAAAAAAGCTTCCATTTATTTGAAGTTTGCCTGTTTAGACTTTCTTTAAGATAAAGAAGGAATCATTTGTCATTCATGACAGCAGCAGCTTGAGGTGCAATGCTGGGCAGTTAGTTTTGTTTCCCAACAGCATGCATTATGAAAGGTAATATGTTTTATAATATAGCGCATCCACACTTTTAATCATTGCATTTTTTAGTATCTAAACATTAGTTCTTTAGCATAAATTAAATTTTAAGGATTTCTTAGAGCAACCAATAAAGTCGCATTCTTGAAGACAACACATACTTGAACACTTCTAGAATCATGCACAAGAAGAAAAATACACTTGAGCATGGTTCAATATATTTAGAAATATACACAACTTAATAAACAAGAAACCAATAAGCTGTAAACTAAGTAGCCTTATTTGAGATTATTTTTATTTTTTTATTTAAATAAAATGATAACAAAATGTGTTTGCTTACTCTTTTATTATTATTATTATTATTATTATTATTATTATTATTTCCAAAAAAAAAGAAACTTTGTTTTTAGAAATTAATCAAAACAATTTAAAGATGGATTTGATATTTTGATAACACACTTTGATTGCCAATAAATCCCGTCTCCAGATAATGATGCAACATCATCCCTACCACTAACAACTTTGACTCAAAATAAGTATCTCATCCTCGCCGCTCAATGAATCATCATCCACATTTGACCACACCACCATCTTCGGTCAGCCTCTGTGAGCTTTTGTCTGCACCCACTTACATCCCTCATTACACTAGCCCACATAATACTGGAGTTAACCCAAACCACAATAAGAAAACCAAATATTATTACTGAAAGCAAATAGACGATTACAATCAAACATACTTGAAGGGAAATTACAACATAAACGACACAAACTCACACTAGGGCTCGATCCATGGGGGTGGAGGTAAGCTAGGTGGTCAGGGAGTAGTGGTAGATGACTAAAATGAGCTCTCGGTGGTTGGGACAGCGAAAGGAGGGGCTGCAATTGCATTGGTGGCAAAGCAGAGGGCTAGGACAGTGAGGGATAGCAAAGGGGAAGGGTTGTGGACTGCAAGACAGCAAGAAGAGTATTATCCAGTGTGGGGGCAGCAAGCGGGAACTGTGGAATAGCAGGATAGGCTACAGGATATGGAACAACAAGTCAAAATGATGGTTGGACAGCAAAAAAAATAGCATATTTGTTGTTTTCCGGATGGCGGTAGGGAAGATCGGCGATTGGGAGTGATGCAAGGAGGTTGGGGAAAGGTGGAGGTGGCTATGCGGGATTGCAGTGAGGCTGGGAAGGGAGGGAAGGGAGGGAAGTGAAGAAACTGCAAGAAAAACAGCAACAACTGCTATCTTGGGCAGCTGCAGCAGAGACAGTGCGGTCGGGGGCGACGTGGGAAGAATGTGGAAGGGGATGTGAAAGATAATCACCACCTCTGGAAAGATATACAGCCAAAGCATCACTCAAACAATTGGATACAGCCCTCGAAAGAAGAAACGGACATTGATGCTTGTCCTAAAAAGAAACGCGAAAACAACCCCTTCTAAACCCTCATACAACTCATACATAAAAACTGACTAAAAGGGAATGAAGGATAATAGGAAAACAAGCATAATAATGAAAAAGGGGATTGTTTTAGGACGTCTCCCATGATAGTGAATCTCACGGTATTGGTACCATAGAAGCTACAGTACCAAGGAAATATTTGTGCAGGAAGCTCATGTATCAATCTCCCAGGATTGAGAGAGTTTCGACCTCATCCGTCGAAGCTTCTATCTTCTAATGATATAGCATCCGATCGGCCACACTGAAGGTGGAGGAAATGTGGCAATCTCCCGTTAAGTCAATCAAGTCGACGTTTACATTCCAAAGTATATCTTGATAGAATAGATATTCATCATGTTTTAGCACAATCATTATTGAAACTGTAAATAGATAGGTATTCTCGCGAACTAAGCCTTGAGTCATTAAATCTATAATTAGCATCTTCTACTCCCGGTACTCGTCCAACTATATTTGATAAACAAGTATATAAGAAAGAATCAAACATGGAATGAAACCTATGATAGGTTGGACCACACAGAAATATAAGCACTCAGAAGATGTCTCTTCTTCTTCTCTGAAGAGACATGGATCCCAAAGTAGGATATTCTTATCCTCAAAAATCCTAAGTCAATTTTCCACATTGTAGTTCATCCATCATGTTTGATCATCTGTTAGTGGGTATCTTGTTGAACTGATTTTGTTGTCCAATGGATTCCATATGTTCTTCCATAAATAGTTCAAAAGCTTCTCACCTCTCATATGTCGGACCTCCCTCAGCAGGGGCAACTCATAATGGAGTCTATATATCAGAAAAACTTTGAGTTTCTCTTAAATGAGGTTAACATGCATTTAGTGTCAGTTCTCCGAACCCATGGGTATCCTAAACTTCCAATATCAGTCCTGCTGATGCTCTTCTAAACTCCTGCAAAACAACGTTTGAGGTATCATAATCTCATACATTGTATGAACGCCCATTACCTCGGACCAACTCCCTTCTCGAACAACTATTGTTACTTCAGTTGGAAGTTCATAATCCACTATAAAATCATCTTCTCCTGACTCAATGACTTCAACTGCTCAGTGAAAGAGATCATTATCATGGTTGTATAATCTAATTCGGTGTGCTCAAATCCGTGACACTTGAAACACTTCATGACAGAAATAGATTTAGAAATGAAAATTAGCTTCACATGCTCTCCATTCTAAATCAGTTTGTCCTCGGGTGGGTGTTTGGATGTTTCCCTTTGTGCACTCTTGTGGCTCGATCCTAGGGTTAAACTCTATCTGAAAGGTGTAACGATCATCCGGTGATGTTGCCTCTCCACTTTTGAAGCTAGGGTGTAAACATCCAATCTGTAGTGAGCTGATAAACATTGGGGTTGCATCTCCTATTTCAACTTAAACCAAGAAGTATTCTTGTCTTTTCCCTCATGCTAAAGTAGGTGCTTCAATTTTTTTCACCAAAATAATGCACTCCTTTAACTAGTTGGCAAATAGTTTTACCATTATAGCCGGAGGGACATCCTGGCCCTCAAAAAAAAGTTCCATGGTCTAAAGCCACTCGATAAACTCGTTCGGCTCCAAGTGACTATTAAAATATAACAAATCTACATTTACTTTACAATTCCGACCTCTCAAATATTTTAGGTTGCCTTCAGGGTAGAGGTTATTCATGTCTGACATCCGTATGATGGAAGACAATCACTTCATTGATTCCATCTAGCAAGTCATCGTTGTGGCTACCGGTGATCCGTCTAAATTGTCTCATTTTCTCAATTTCATCAAGTCGCTGTAGTGCTCGGCGGAGTCGTCATTATATCTCTTCCATGGTAAACTTCTAGTCGGTGTCCGGCCATTGTCTCCTTAGAAACATGATTAGAGATTGGGTTTGGATAGGTGGAAGAAGATGTAAAATAATGATGAGAATGGGAAGAAAATTTGCAGGTGGTAGGTTTAAAAAATCAACAAAAGAAAAGATTTTTGGGTGCAGCTGGGGTTGGGTATTGGTGGATGCTAAAAACCCTATGATAGAACAAGAATTAGGCTAGCTCTGCAAATGATATTATAATTAACCCAAACCACAATGGAAAAATTAAATATTATTATTGAAAGTAAATAGGCAGTTACAAGCAAACACACTTAAAAGAGAAATTACAAGATATATGACACAAACTCACATTAGGGCTCAATCCATGGGTGCTAGAGGTCGGCTAGGAGGTCGGGGAGCAGTGGTAGGTGGTTGAAATAGGTTGTGGATGATTGGAACTAGTAAAAGGAGTTGGAATCGTTTTGGCAGCAAAGCAGAGGGCAGGGAGTTGGAAATGCGGCGAAGAGGAAGGCCTGTGAACTACGGGACAGTAAGAGGAGTGTTATCCGATGTGAGGGCAGCAAGCGAGAACTATAGGGACAGTAGGATAGGTCGCAGTCCAGGAGGCAGCAAGTCGGAATGATGATTGGACAACAGGAAAATAGAAATTTTGTTGTTTTCCTTATGGCGGCAGTGAGGATCAATGATTGGGAGTGAAGTTGGACGGTTGGGGAAGGGTGAAGCTGGCTATGCGGGATGGCAACAAAACGGGGGAGGGAGGGAGGTGGCTAGAAGTGGGGAAACAGCAAAAAAATACAACAAAAGCTATTGTCATTGGCAGCTGCAGCAGAGACGAAGTGGTCAGGAGGGACGTGAAGGAATGTGAAAGGGGATAAGAAAGATAATCACTACCTCAAGAAAGAGATATAGCCAGAGCACACTCAAACCCTCGGATACATCCCTCAAAGAGATAAATGGATGCTGACGACTATCCAAAAAAGAAACATGAAAAAAAAACATTTCCAAACCTAATACGACACGCATAGAAAATGACTAAAAAGGAGTGATGGATTATATGAAAGAAAGCATAAGAAAGAAAAATGGGATTATTTATGCCTGTCTCCCACAATAACAAATCCTGCAGTACTGTAGTAGCTACAGTTCGTGAAAATATATGTGCGGGATGCTCCCGCGTCACCACAATTTCTCCATAAAAACATGCAACTCCTGCAGCACTGTTTACATCATAAATTCAACGGAATCAAAATTTTTGGCCCAATACACTTATCCTCCCTCTACCTCCTCCTTCCATGTCCAACCATTTCCTCAAATCCAATAAAATTTTCAGTCTGATAGCTCCCATCTCCTTCACCTCAATCTCTTTACCAACTTCCAAATTGACAATGTCCCTGAACATCCGCACCACTCCTATCTCCACATTATAAACCTTTCAAATAACAGGTTCATCGTGTATACCCTTGGAGATATGAGGTGAAGCGTGTTATTTGAACAAAAAATGCAATCATGGCTTTTTTTGCAAGCGACTCAAATAAGTTGTTGTCTCAAACTCAATGCATTGTGAGAAAACAGATCGATGGAAAAGCCTGACAATACACTATAGCAACATTTTCTCTTTTCAAATTACTTTATTTATATTTTATTTCAAATTAGAATATAAACAAAATCAAAATAAAAGTAATCCCAAATGGTCCTTAGGAAAATTGTGTCAGATTACAAAATAACATCAATAACTTGTAATCTGTTTGGGTTGGTCGTAGCTTCTTATAAAAGTTATTGTAAATTTGTGTTGATTGAGAAAATAACTTTTTAGAAAGCTTCAGTAAGAATTATATATATATATATATATATATATATATATATATATATCCAAAATATCAAACAAATTTCTTATAGCCGCCACACTTTAACAAATCAGGTTGAAAAAGGTAACTTTCCACCACAAAATATTATTAAAAATAGCAAGAAAATAATTTCCCAAATGAAGCTGTGGCAACGCTCTAAAACACAAAGTAGGCAGAAAACTATCCCAAATATATCCTTAATTTACCATCATAATGACAGTATGTTTTTTTCTTTGTCCATATCTAATATCACTGTATTGATACAAAAATGACTTTAATACCTTAACTTCTCTTTCTATCTTTACTTGGTTATTTATTTTATTCAATCTTCGTTTCTTCAATCTTCGTTTCTTCCTTTCATACTTTTCATCTTCCGTCAGTCATTTCTATTCATCTTTTTCCTGTTATTCGCCCAGAACTTTCCACGCATTCCTATCGCTTTCTTTCCTATAGCCTCCTATAAAAGATTTCTCAAGATCCTCTCTAATTTTTTTAATATATAAATCGCTGAAAACCTGTAAACATAAATATCAAGAAAACATAACCAGCTCATAAACATAGCGTACCACGTCAGTGCAAAGGTACTCCAATATGACCAGCTCCAGAAGAAAGCGATGCTTCCCTTGCCTTGTCGGACCATCGTCTGTATGGAAGGATAAAGGAATTCATCGAGTCAATATGATTGGTAGGCCAAAATAAAAAAACAAATTCAATAATGCGGCAAAGCAGCACAAAATTAGACAAATTATTAAAAAAGAAATTGAAATTATTTTAATAGGAAGATAATTTGAAATGAAGCAACAGTTTTACTAACCCTTATAGTAATGATGTTGTTAAATAAGGTTAAAATACAGTCTAGCTTAAAGAAGAATATACAGATTAAGGTATCAGTTGTGTTATGAAGAATGCAGTTGCTATAATTACTATCACAGGAACAGAAATTACTACCTAATATGGTGATTAGGATAAGAAAAAAGTAATGATATCAGATAAGAGATTGCAACAATCTCTAAATAATAACTACAAAACATAGTATCAGGATCTCCTTGTCCCAGCCCTCAGCATCCTCTCAGTCCACAAAACCTCCTAAAGCTTCCTCTCAGTCCACACAAACTTCTAGTCTACTTTCACACTTAGAACTAGTTGCTCACACTCCACATTGATCCTTATTATAACCAATCAGGCCACACTAGTACTTCTTCCGAGATAACCACTGCAATAACATCCTCAACCGGCTTGAAATTGGTTTAAACTGCATGTCTAGGAAGTAGCGCCACAAAGTTGATTATGTAGTGTTGCGACATTCTGCAATTTAATTTTTTTAATTAGATGCATGTTTCAACGCTCTCTTCTCTGTTTATGCATTGCATGCAACGCCTCATTAATTCCTAATTTTTAATGCTACAGGATAAAATCACAGTGCTGCAAGATGTAGCATCGTGGCACTATATGTCAAAAATGATAATTTGCTCATTTTGTGTTATAACATCATTTCTTTAGAATTTTAGTCACATTATTCCATTTGCACCATTATTTCAGTCTTATCCACCTGCATATGCAAATTTAATAAAAGTATCATTGAATTTATTCATTCTTACTTGAAATTAAGTTAAATTAAAATGATAATTAATAAGTAAAACATATTGATTAGATACCCACGAGTTGATCGAGTTTATCCACTAGGCCCCTTGAATGAAGCAAGTTATAGGTTTTGAATGGGACTCTATGATAAAATTAGGTCTAATATCTCCTCTGATTAAGTTGAACAAAGTCCACGACAACCTAAGGCAATGAAATCATTTGATCTTGGCTAGAATTTTCATTATTCCCCTTTTATCGCCTTCAAGTTGCTAGCGGCATATTCCTTCTCTCAGCATATCAACTGCAGTAGGATAGACATTACCAAAAGCAATCACAACAATTTTTAGTAAACCCTAGAAACTATCTTTAATCAGAAATTCTCTCCCACAAAAATAATTAACAATGGGAGTTTGTGCCCATTAAAAAGTATTGAACTAGGAATATAAAGTCCTCTATACGGGTGAAATCTCTAAATAATATTTTATCATTATCTAATCCAACCCCTAAAAGTAATCTTTCCTAGTTCCCAAAATGAGGTTCCCTTCTAAGCCCAAAACTACTAAATTAAGATTGATGAAAATGGAGATTAAGCTCTCTAGCATTTGCTGTTTAGTGAAAAAACAAATGTAGAGTCCCTAACTTTTAACTCCGATGACAAGCACATAAATTTGCCAACAAAAAATGTCTTGCAATGAAAATTATATTATCATACTGTTTATTATATCAGTTAGAATCATCGAACGTACTAAACTGATTATCTCCATGCAGCTCTGGCTCCCATCTCAAGGATGAGTTAGTTTACTATTCAGATGTTGAACACAATTATATAGAATTTTAATTTGAAAGAAAAAATACAACACCTATACTTTAACTGTTGGTGTTTCCGGTTTAATGCTAATAGTTATAAGTCCTCCTACAAATTTGTCATGATTTTATGATATATTCAGTTTATTCAAAGATTTAAATAAAAGACATGAATTTCACATTAACATTTCTGAATATTATGATAAAAAGCTACCCAGTGCAGAGGATAATGTATGCATTCGACCAATTCATTGTCGCATAAATCATCTACCCTGTATAATTGAACAAAAATAGGTCAGAAATCAATTGAAACCACAGTAAAGATCCATCGATCATCCACGCTACAAAAAACCTGTTGAACATAAATATAACTGGCCTCCCACCGTTACGTCCCCCAATTTCTCAAACCCAACCAAATCACCCAAGAAACCCACTAATCACGCTATGAGCAAATAAAATCGACGGAACCTCACAGCTAACTTTTTCAAAGACAAGAAATTGAAAAAGAAAAGGGGGAGAAGAGATCATACCGTCCAGATATCGGCAGGTACAAGGATGATGAAGGAAAGAGAGCAAAACCAGGTGTAACCGACGGTGAAGAGGACGTAGCGCGGGACATTGGGCCCTGCGAAGTACCGTAGCGTCACCAAGACCATGCTAAGGGTTAACGGCAGCGATATCAGATAAAATACCCACATTTTTTCCTTCTCTTTTTCTCCAGTTCTCCTTCTCCGAATCCCCGATTCAAATCGATCGCAGACGATGCCGAAAAACGGGCGCTCGGCGATTCTTCGAGCAACTAGAGGAGGGTAGAAAGATTGTAACAGCGGGCTAGGGAGGTAGTGACCGGGAGAGAGAAGAAAACTCAGAAGTCAGAACAGCGGGTAACTCGGACGCATCAAACCTCAAGAAGCTTTCTTTTTTTTTTTTTTTTTTTTTTTTTTTTTTTTTTTTTTTTTTTTAAAAAAAAGGATTGCAGAATAACAAATAAAAGTATTGTTAGATAAATATAATTTTAAAAATTTAGAAAAATTCACATATATACCACAAAAACTTTCAGATTTACATTTATAACACTTAGATCAGTTATATGGCACTAACTTATGCTTTAAAGGATTTATTTGGCTTTTAAAATGAATAAGTCAATAATATTTTTGATGTCATATCAGAGATTTGAATGTTATATGTGTAAATATAAAGTTTAGAAATTATATATATAAATACATCAGAATTTTGTGGTATGTTTTAAATGCTCCAAAATATTTGAATAAATATAAGGAAAGTTTACCAACTTCACAATTATTGTGCATTATATATCTAGCACCTAAAGTTTGATATTTAACACTTCCAAAATTTAGGCATGAAAAAGCATACTTTATTTCAAAAAGTTAATGTTAATGTTATTTTTATATGATGTAAGAAATTTGAGTTTCAGGTGTGTAAATATGAAATTTTAGTTGATAGATGTGTCAATATATAAGAATTGTGTGTCATGTCTATAAATGCTCCTAAATATAAGCACATATATGCATAAATTATAGTATATATTAATTCAACTTAGAGATTCATTTTGGAATTAAAATAGCAAAGAAATAGAGTTAAAAAATTAACGTGTAAATTAATTGAATTTTTTCACATTAGTTTTTTAAATTCTTAGCAATGTGCATTTAAATTACAATAGTTAAAACAATTGTAGAGTTAATGTAAATAGTAAGGGTGTAACTAAGTCATGCTAACTCATGAGCCAACTCGAGCTCAACTTGATACTCAAACTAGCTCTAACTCGATTTGTTAGATCGTGAGCTGGCTAGTTTAAGAAAATATATTAATATAAAATATGCTTAAAATATATTAAATTTTAAAATTTTATCTTTAAATTATTAAAAAATTTAAAAAATAATATTTTATATTTTATATTAATTGATTTATTATTATTTTCTTCTAATTGATCAATATATTTACTATTTTTTAGAACACTATTTTAAATTAATATTATTTTATCTCTTTTATAACAATCAAGCTGGCTCGGGAGCCTGCTCAAACTTGTAGTCCTAATTTCGAACTCTAGCACTCAAAAAAATTAACCAAATTCAAACTCAAATCATGCCTGTTTCATGCTCTACTTCATTCATTACACCCCTAAAATTGGAGTAGGAATACCAATCTTAACAAGTGATTAAAAACAGGCCTAAAACTATTTGGCTATTCTAGTTTTATAGCTGGGCTACACATAGCAGCCCATCTACATCTTTGCTTCTTTAAGTGGTCATTGTCCTGTCCGTTTGAATTCGGATAACTTGTAAACAAAGATCTGTAATAAAGTAGCTTTACATAATTTTATCAACATTTCAACCATTATATTTTTTTTTTGCAAAAATATTATTTCCATTAAACTCTAAAATACAGAAAAAGAAAAATATTACATTGAGGCATCCTCACTCAATTTATTTTTGTAGTGTAGATTCAAAAATCTTTTGGATTATAAATGGCCACATACAATTTAGGGCTTGTTTGAAATTACTTTTATTTTCTTTTTTTTTTCTTTTTTTTTGTTTTTTTTCAAAAACATGTTTGTTTAGTAATTTTTTTTCATATTTTTATTTATTTATTTTTAAAAACATTCAAGACAACTAAAAGTTATTTTGAGTATTTTTAAAAACATCTGAACATGTTACGTCATACCAAACATATTTTATTTCAAATCAAAAAATCAAAACAAAAATCCAATATCAAAAGTGTTTCCAAACAGCCCCTTAAGGGTGTTTGGGATAACTTTTATTTTTTTTTCTATTTTTTTATTTTTTATTTTCTTTTTTTATTATTATTTGAACAAAACATGCTTGGTACATTTGATTAGGTTATAGTTGTTTTTTTAAATATTTAAAATATTCAAAATTTATTTTGAGTGTTTTGAAAAGCATTTTTATTTATTTTTAAAATTTAAAATTAAAAACAAGTTAAAAACATATTTTTTAAAAATAAAGGAAAAATAAAAATAAAAATGAAAATAAAATAAAAAACAAAATGGGGAACATTTAAGTGTAAATTCAAGCAACAATAATATATAGTCATAGACCCAACTATTTCTTGATGTACTTAATATTTAGTTTTTGTGATCTTTTATTATTCCAAATTATAGA